ACCTGATCCCGGGGATCCCGGTGCTGATCCCGGTGATCCTGGTGATCCCGGTGCTGATCCTGGTTCTGATCCCGGTGTTGATCACAGTGATCCCGGTGATCCTGCAGATCCCGGTGCTGATCCCGGTGATCCTGGTGATCCCGGTGATCCCGGTGCTGATCCCGGTGATCCTGGTGATCCCGGTGATCCCGGTGCTGATCACAGTGATCCCGGTGATCCCGGTGATCCCAGTGATCCCGGTGCTGATCCCGGTGCTGATCCCGGTGCTGATCCCGGTGCTGATCACAGTGATCCCGGTGATCCCAGGGATCCTGGTTCTGATCCCGGTGCTGATCCCGGGGATCCCAGTCCTGATCCCGGTGTTGATCACAGTGATCCCGGTGATCCTGCAGATCCGGCTGTGGATCCTGGTGCTGATCCCGGTGCTGATCCCGGTGCTGATCCCGGTAATCCCGGTGCTGACCCTGGTGTTGATCACAGTGATCCCGGTTCTGATGCCATGGATCCCGGTGCTGATCCCAGTGCTGATCCCGGTGCTGATCCCGGTGTTGATCACAGTGATCCCGGTTCCGATCCCATGGATCCTGGTTCTGATCCCAGTACTGATCCCGGTGCTGATCCTGGTTCTGATCCCGGTGCTGATCCCGGTGATCTCCTGGATCCCGGTTCTGATCCCGGTTCCGATCCCAGTTCTGATGCTGGGGATCCCGGTACTGATTCTGGTGTTGATCACAGTGATCCTGGTTCTGGTCCCGGTTCTGGTCCCGGTTCTGGTCCCGGTTCTGATCCTGGTTCTGGTCCCGGTTCTGGTCCCGGCTCTGGTCCCGGTTCTGGTCCCGGTTCTGGTCCCGGTTCCGGCGCTGCAGCAGCTGCAGCTTCCAGGGGGGCAGCGCCATGGGGGGGGCAGGGGGAGCCCTGCGGGAAAAACGGGAATGGGGAAACTGGGGAAACTGAGGAAACTGGGAATGGGGAAACTGGGGAAACTGAGGAAACTGGGAATGGGGAAACTGGGAATGGGAACTGGGAATGGGGAATGGGGAAACTGGGAATGGGAACTGGGGAAACTGGGAATGGGAACTGGGGAAACTGGGAATGGGGAACTGGGGAAACTGGGATTGGGAGTTGGGGAAACTGGGAATGGGGAATGGGGGAACTGGGAATGGGGAACTGGGATTGGGAACTGGGAATGGGAACTGGGAATGGGAACTGGGAATGGGGAATGGGGAAACTGGGAATGGGAACCGGGAATGGGAACTGGGAATGGGAACTGGGAATGTGGGAATGGGAACTGGGGAAAC